CCCCCCCCCCCCCCCTTTTTAAATGAGCCCATTGTTTTTTCAGTGAGAGACAGAGAGTGTTGTAAATAGTTTATCTTTTAAAACCCTCTAATGCTTTGTAAATCATCTGCAATGGGTGCTCATATTTTATTACATATAGAGGGGGGGGGGAATTTATCAAAAGTGGAGCAGACAAATTCTGGAGCAGATTTGCACTGCAACCAATCAGCTTCTCTCTTTCATTTTCAAATCTCAACTGAGCAAACTGAAGAGAGAAGCTATCACGTACCTGGTTGGAGACTAAGTCTGGGTTCACACTTGGGCGTACGGAATATGCGCGTTTGACACGCGTTTCGTGCCGTGATTTGCGGTAAAAGAAATGCGCGACAAACGCGCTTTTCCGAGGGCTATCCAGCTGTATCCTTATGGATACACGCGGGAAATACGTCCCAAAGAAGCGCCTGTACTTCTTTGGGCGTTTTTCAGCGCGTTCCTACGCGCTGTAAAATGCCCAGGTGGGAACCATGCCCATAGGCAATCATTGGTTTTCACATGTTGAGCGTTTTACAGAGCGTAGGAACGCGCTGTAAAACGCCCAGTTGTGAACCAGTCCTGAATGTGTGAAGAGGCCTCCCTTGTACCTCGTGTCCCGAGAACTCTGGAGTTGCGGGACAGAGTCCACACAGACAGCGAGTGGCACGGGAGCCAGTGGTGATAACACTGTGCAAGCTGAAATTCAAGTGTGGTTGCAGAGCAGGGCAAGATCCGTTATCCAGGTCAAACGAGCCAAGGTCACATCAATCGGGCAGGCAAGGTACAAAAGGATGAGGCAGAGGCAAAGTCCAGTACCGATCCGAGGTCAGAGGCAGGCAGCAAACAACAATGGTCAATGATAATAAATCCGGGTCAGAGGTCAGGCAATACAAGCAAGGAATCACAGGGGAGCTGAGACAATCCAGCAATTTGGAGACAGGCAGGCTGAGCTTAAATAGTGTGATCCATTAGCCCATTGTGTCACTTCCTGTGCGCCGCTTGGCATGTTTTTTTGCAGTCGGACCATGGCACGCGCAAGTGTCCGTTTACCAATGGTATGGAAAATGGGACTCCGTGCATGCGCAATAGGAAATGGTCTCTGACAGATGCTGATTGGTTGCCATGTGCGACTTCTCCAGTTTCTGTGCGCTCCAGTTTTGATAAATTCCCCCCATTGTATGTAACTTGTCTGTGTAATTAAGACTTCCATAGATTTTAAAGAGAGGTCACATGTATAGACACAGAGCCAATTGTCCTGGGCATTTGTTCTGGCTGTTAGATCTCTAAATCTAAACATGTTCACCCTGGAAGTGAGGCGATTTAAGAGAGCACATGATTTTGATGTACAAGATGTTCAATGGTGATAGCAACATCGGCAATAAACCTTTTACTATAAACTTCATAACAAGGACTAGAGGGCACCACCTAAAACTGGTGGAGATAAGATTTAACCACAAGGGGCGTAGGCGCTTCTTCTCAGAGCGGTTAGGGTCTGGAACTCGCTGCCACAAGCAGTGGTACCAGCTGAGAGTGTTGAATCATTCAAAAAGCATTTGGACAATTCCCGCAATTGAGCGTAACATACAGCGGTACAGGTACTCTTAAAAACAAGATCACACGGGAACTGACACACATGCAGAATCACATACATACACGCAATAGGTTGAACTTGATGGAGCTGTGTCTTTATTCAACCTCAAATACTATGTAACTATGTGATTATATAATGGCACCATGACTAGTTAGAGGTTGTGAGTAAAATATACTTTATAGAGTGGAGTAAAAGTTCTCCACTCGGAAAAGAAAACACATTTGTAGACATTTATGTTTATATCTCCTGTGTAGTGTGCATTTAGGAAAAATTCTCTAATCATCCGAACTGCAAATGTCATAAGACGAACAATTCTGGTGTGAAGCTACAGAAATATGTTGAACTCTAGACATGTGCGATTCGTTTCGTTCCGAATCGAAATTCGGACGAATTTTCGGAAATTCGGACATTCGGATGTATCCGAATTCCGAATTACAGACATAACGAATGCAAACAAATCCGAATTTCCATTTCCGAAATTCGGTAGCGTTAGTACGAACGTTCGTTTCGTATTCGTTTCTTATTCGTTTCGTTCGTTGGAGCAAAGTGACATTAGAGAAGGAGAAAAATATTTTTCCCCCTTCAAATGTCACTTTGCTGCAAACGAACGAAACGAATAAGAAACGAATAAGACCAGAATACGAAACGAACGTTCGAACTAACGCTAACGAATTTCATCCGAATCCGAATTGACTTTCACACCCGAATCCCGAAAAACGAAATAACACAAATCCGAATTTAAAACGAAACTAAACTAAACAAATTTTTTGGCAGTGCACATGTCTATTGAACTCTAAGGTTAGTCTATATCTGCTCTCAATATTCTATAATTCTACAATACTTTTTGTATTTTTTTCAGGGATCCGTGGTGGTTCTTGAATTTTCAGTTAAGGATTCTTAAAACGTACTACTGCCAAGTTGGTGTTCCTTGTCACACGATGAATCCTAGAGGAGACAAACTATGTAAAGGGGAAAGTTTAATTGCAAAGTCATTTCCGGCAGTTCACCAGAATATTGATAAGGAAGAGAAACCGTTTCCAGCAGTTCCCCAGAATATTGATAAGGAAGAGAAACCATTTCCAGCAGTTCTCCAGAATATTGATAAGGAAGAGAAACCATTTCCAGCAGTTCACCAAAAGATTAACAATGAAGAGGAACCCCCTGATACGTGCTTAGAACACAAAACACATCTTACTGATCACCATATGAGTGACACAGAAGATAAGCCATATCTATGCGCAGGATGTTTCAAGTGCTTCAAAGGACAGCATGCTTTTGCTCGACACATGATGATTCACACAGGCGAGAAACCATTTAGATGTTCAGAATGCGACAAGAGCTTCACACAAAAGGTAACTCTCACTATTCACCAGAGAACTCACACTGGAGAGAAACCATTCAAATGTGCTGCATGTGACAAGAGCTTCTCACAAAAAGGACAGCTTACTGAACACCAGAGGATTCACACAGGAGAGAAACCCTATAGATGTTCAGAATGTGACAAGTGCTTCAAAAAAAGGGGACAGCTTACTGCACACCAACGAATTCACACAGGAGAGAAACCATATAAATGTTCCGAATGTGACAAGAGCTTCACAAATAAAGCTCATCTTAATGAACACGAGAAAACCCACACAGGAGAGAAGCGATTTAAATGTTCAGACTGTGACAAGAGCTTCTCACAAAAGTCAAATCTTAGTAAACACCGGAGGATCCACACAGGAGAGAAACCATTTTTGTGTTCAGAATGTGACAAAAGTTTTATCGCGAAGGCACAGCTTGCTGTTCACCAGAAGACTCACACTGGGGAGAAACCATTTACATGCTTAGAATGTGACAAGTGCTTCACACAAAAGATAGATCTTATTAGACACCAGAAGGTCCATCAGGAGATCCATGCATTTATATTCGGAATGTGATACATTTCAGAATATAGAAATAACTGTTTTTTTTCTGTTTGGCTGTGCTGATGATAGCAACACAATTCTAGATGACAGCCACGATGGGGTTGACCTTAGGAAAAGTGTAGAGGCTGTTGAGTTGAGGTAGCCACCTCACTCTATTTGTAAGGTAAATGCCTGGGTGCTCATCCACAAAAATATTCATGCAAATCCAAAGTAGGTTTAAAGGCACTTGTGTTTTGCAGCAGAGAGAGGTCAAAGCATCCGCACTTTCCATTTCACATTGACAGAAAAAATGCTGAGGCTTTGACTTATCTCCACCGCAAGACTTGAGTGCTTCTAGACCTACTTGGGTTTGCATATATGTGCATTTGTCTGTAACCAATAGACAGAAAACAGAGGACAACATAAGAAAGGAGCTTAAAGATAATCCTGCTTGGTGAACTAATGAATACGTAACCTCCTTATACGAAATTCTCTATTTAACTTAGCTTTACAATATAGAGGGAAACGGCATGGTTGCAGTCTAAAGGGCAGGGGCAAATGATACAAAAGGTGATATCTGTGTGGGGATGAGTTATTTGAGAAAGTAAATGTTCAGTTATTAGGTGGAGGCAGGATAAGCTTCCCTGATCAGATGAGGAAGACAGAGTAGGAGATACCCATAAAGGTTAGGGTAGGAAGTTCCAGAGGAAAGGATAGATTCTAGGGAAGTGCTTGGGGTGATCATGGGAGGAGTTGATGAAGAATCTAGAGAGCAGGAGGTCTTGGGAGGAGCATAGATGATTAATTGGGTAAGATATTGAGATGAGGTTGGTGATGTAGCTGGGGCAGGGCCGTGAATGGCTTTTTAAGTAGTTGCACATAGTTGTTAATAGTGTGAATTATTCTTTGGGCAGTCGTAAGCTAGTGGAGGTATTGGGAGAGAGGGATTGAAGACAAAGAGAGGTTGGTAAGGTGGATGAGTCTGGCAGAAGCTTTCATGATAGACTGAAGGGGGACAGCCTATATAGAGGAAGGCCAGTGAGGAGGGAGTTGAAATAGTTAAGAGGAGAGATAACAAATGAGTGGATTGGAAGCTCAGCGGTTTCATTGGTTAAGATGGGGCATATTTTGGAGGTGTCATTGAGGTAAAGGTGGCAAGATTTGAACAGTAATCCAATGTATGTAAAGCCGCACTCAACAGCCAGGAGCTCAATGTAAACAATGTTTATTGCCAGAAATCTAAAAGCATAACAAGATCCGCAGGCTCAGCTTCCTTTCGGTGCATTCTTCTATGGCCCCACCAGAGTCTGGCAGCAAAAAGAGGACCTCTTCTTTTTGTTGGCTGGCCCTTCCTTGCCGTACATGTGCCTACAGTCGCCTTAAATTTCCCAGAGGAAACATGTTGCAAAATTATTGTTTGCAGAGCTCAGCTACTCATACGGCAATTAAAACACAAAAGGCAACGAATCAGAGCTGTGACTTTTCTCTATCTCCCCTGTGGATCAGTTTGAAGTTTGTCAGACACAGGGTCTTTGAAAGGGAACATCTTCTGTTCTGTGCTCCTTCTATTAAAAAAACCCCTGTAGAATTCTGGAAAATATTGCCATGGTTTACACCCTGTATTAAATGTGAATTTATAACTTTATAGTAAAAAATAAACATTTTTATTTGATGGAATGTAAATAACACATTTGCACTTGCATGACCCACATCTCTGCATCATTTAAATACAACTTGCTTGGCTCTTCATCTTGCAATGGGAATATGAAAGTATGAAGTACATCTGTTTTCTGTTCTGTACTCTGTATAGGTTCTGTATGTAACAGAGCTAATGGCTAGACATGTTAAGCTGGAAACGGTTAGCCTTATCAAAATAACCCACCATAGGTTCTTGTTGCATGGTAAAAATATTGCGTAGATTTCCAGCTTCTGGGGAACTTCAGGCTTAGACTAGTCAAAGGTTCATGTTTGAATATTTTTTAATAGGACCATATCCTTCGAGAGTTCATGAACACCATGACCATATCCTTCGAGAGTTCATGAACACCATGACCATGTCCTTCGAGAGTTCATGAACACCATGACCATGTCCTTCGAGAGTTCATGAACACCATGACCATGTCCTTCGAGAGTTCATGAACACCATGACCATGTCCTTCGAGAGTTCATGAACACCATGACCATGTCCTTCGAGAGTTCATGAACACCATGACCATGTCCTTCGAGAGTTCATGATAGGTCAGTAACAGCAGTACCATGTCCTTCGAGAGTTCATGAACACCATGACCATGTCCTTCGAGAGTTCATGAACACCATGACCATGTCCTTCGAGAGTTCATGAACACCATGACCATGTCCTTCGAGAGTTCATGAACACCATGACCATGTCCTTCGAGAGTTCATGAACACCATGACCATGTCCTTCGAGAGTTCATGAACACCATGACCAACTTTGGAGGTCTTTCTAGCTAACGGGTATAATATTTTTAAACTTCTAAAGAAACACTCAGTTATACAATTGTTACAACATATAGAGTTGCTTCATAACCTGTTTTTGTAAATAAAATTTACCCTGGATATGAAGGATATGGTCATTCAAATATTTCGGTGAATACCAAGTTGGCAGCTAGGAGATAATCAGGAATACATACCTGTGTGTGTCTGGATGACATCCCCATTCATACACAGGGGCATAATTGCTTTAAATAAATCATTTTGGCTATACATTCACTTTAGAGCTCATTCACAGGACCCCATGAGCTGCATCACTGCTCTGTCTCTGCAGTTTAAATGATTTATCAGTTTTGAATGGAATACAGAAGGATGCCAGATTTGTATTGTTAACAATAGCGATTTGATAAAGAAGGGGGCATGAAGATGCAGAAGCATGGCACCACACCCTTGATTGGACCATAGATTTTTATTGTTGTCTTCATCCCCATTTAGGAGATACACCCTTCGAATTTGCCACCATTTTCACTGGGACAGAAAGTTGTGGGAAATTCATACTTTGACATCTGTCCCCAGTTCAGGAATATAGGTGAGGGGAAATCTTCCAATGGGGATACTCGTTCTTATGACAACTATGTAAAGAAGAGAGTTTCCTCACTTTGGAGAGAATTCCTTTCCCTTCCCATTGTGTTCCCAAGATAGCACGTAAAAGGAAATATCCCCAGCAGTGCACAGACAGCGAAGGGATGTAACCCTCCCCAGAGGGGATGTAACCCTCCACTAATTTATCCAAAACTAAACTAAAAAAAGGTTTCAGTATGGATACACTTCAACAAAGACTCTCCAGTCCCTTTTGCCAATGATGATACTGTTATAGCATCATCTGTCCATGTTAATGATGAGAGACAACTGTCATTCATTTTCAGTGAAGGTTCCCTTATATTGTCCTCCCTCCACGTATTAGAATGTTAATGAACTTGTCCTGGTTGTGATTGAGATGGAGAATTGAAACTGTCTAATTACGATGTAAAAATACCTTTTGTGAAGTAGATCTCACCTTCAGTCAATAGGGATCCAGCACATATATGTGAATGGGGGTGAAATGAATATAAGGTGAGGCTGGGCTCAGTCAGTCACAGAACTGCTGGTCAGGAGAACAAGAAGCTTCTATAGGACAACATTCTACATTATACCAGGTAGATGCACTCTATATGATTGTGGACTTTACAATGTACATGTTTTGTCTTTGAACATTGAATTGAGAGGCATGCTGGTTGCAGGAAGAATCTAACTCGGTGATCTTCTTAGATGTTTAATTTATTCAAATCAAATCCAGGCAACAGATAATATCAGTTAATGAATTGATAACCATTGCCATCAGAACAGAATGATCTGGACTTACACTTTAAGATCTAAAGTTTTCTTCATTGTAATGTCAACATATTCAATGCAATATATTTTAAGACTTGGTTAACAGTGTTTTCTGCTTGTCTTTTGTCTATCTCATTGTATATATCTATTTATTATACAGTTCAAATTTATAAAGCAACACATGTCAATGCGAGTTTCTCTGCCTTATTTCAGCCCATTAGATTTGAGCTTTTACTATTCACACACATTTCTGCCTGTAATCGGGGGAACAGTTCCAGTGAAATAGTAACTATCTCTACCACACCAGTCCCTAGTACCAGAGACTTGGAGCCCAGTAAAAAGTAATAGAATATAGTGTTTTCCACAATGTACTAGAAGAATGTTGTGCAGTGTAGCTGGGTTAGTGCATGTACTTTAAAAAAATGTTTTTTTATTGAAGCCACCGTGTGGCTTGTCTGAAAATTCTAGCCAAAAGCGGAAAAGCGGCTCTGTGACCGTTAGTTAGTCACTATTTCACTGGAACTGTTCTCCGATTATAGGAAGATATTAGTGAATAATAAAAGCTCAAATCTAATGGGCTGAAATAAAGCAGAGAAACTCGCCTTAGAGCACCACTTCTAGCTGACACTTCAGTGCATGCCAGATAGCATGTACCCCTCAGCTCTCAGTTATTCCTCTAGCCGGCTGCTATGTCACTATATAACACAGTAGTGATGAATGGCTGGTGGTAACCACCATAAATATGAAATAATTTGTATTGACTTTTACAGCCATCAACTGGAGCTTTGGGCTTTTACTTGAGTTTCAAAAGCTCTACTTGGCTTCTTTATGGATGAAAAAGGCTGTTGTTTACAGAGCTCGACAGCTTAAGCTGACATTAACAAACACAAGTCAGTGACCCAAAACAGTAACTCCTCCCCTTCTCATCAATCGGAGACAAATAGTGTTGGAAAAGGAAAATCTTCTGTTCTGTCTGGCTCAAGAAACCTCTAATGCTTATCTAATCCTATGCTATAGATGTACCCAGTATATTAACTTTATGTAACTTCTTTGTGTAATTAAGGGTTTCATAGATATCAAAGGGAGGTCACATGTACAGGTACAGCTCTAACTGCATGTGAGCATTTATTCTGACCACTGGACCCTTCAAGAGAAATGGTTGTATAATACCAACATTCATACTTATGGGCCTGGAGTAAAAGATACCTCACTGAGGGGAGTTATTTATGCTTTTAGTTCATGTGTGGTGTGAATGTCATGCAATTGTGGTTTATAACTACAGAAATGTATTGAATT